TCAATTTTTCTTGGCGAGGCCTATATGGACGTTTCCCGAGCTCTTTCTGCCCATATCAGTTGAGCCTGATAAAATTGATATCAAGAGACAGTAGCATGCTTTTCTATTTATAATGTAACACCTAAAATCTGTTAGATTACAAAAAAAAAAATCTTTTGAATAGCGAATTTGTAGAAAGTGTTACTTTTTGTTCAAAGAAATAATTCTTGAAAAGAACTTTACCCACCCCTGAATCCTTAAATTTGTAAATGCTGACAATTCTTTTTTTTCGACTTGAGATTATTCCCTTTGATAATAGATAAAACAAATTATAATAAAATAAGAATCTTGCCTTCAAACATCGATCAAAAAATATCCGTATGAATCACAAAATATAACTGCACATTTTTATTTTAGATGACATATTCAAAAGCTCACCAGAATTTTAGTACCTATCAATTTAAAGTAAAGTCAAATCGGCAATCAAAGACAAGCTACTATTTTCTGAACGAAAACATTTTGTCACTTATTTTATAATAATCTGGCGGAACAAAGTACATGTACAAATTTTACAAGTTCTCCAAGTAAATCGTAGACCCCTTTTAGTGTTTATAATTTGACGTGGGCATCGATGATGCCATTTGCTATATAATTCATAACGTCACTTCATAAAGCTGGTGTTTAACTATTAGCAATTTTATTTGTTTGTAATTGAATACGAAAATAAATGATAAATATCACATCTTGATTTGGGATTTGTAAGGATATGAATTGAGAAGTGATGTTTTTCCCAAATATCTATTACTTGAATGGATTTTAGTCTGGCAGTCAAGTTTGCTTTATTATATCATTGGTAAATCTAGCTGTAATTGAAATGTCTGTTCATATTTGAAAGCGTTTTATTTTTGTAATTACTGAAATGTTTCTTTGGTTCAAACGGTTTTATATTTAAAAATCTTTTATAATAATCATAAAGAAAACTACAAGTGTAAATTCATCTATATATGATAAAAAAACAACAACAAAAAAATAACAGTATGTCGAGCTGGAAAGTTTGGTATACAATGTCAGGAGAACTGCGCATTAAATTGCAAGCATGGTATTTGCTATCATGTAAACTGGGGTTGTAGTAAAGAGTATAATCAGGGCTATCAAGGAAAGTACAGAAAGTAAGCTTTCTTATATCTTGTAGTATTCTTATTATATAATGTTGTATTATATTTCTGTAGTTACGATACGCGTTACATAATGCGTTATGATATCGTGTTTTATCAACAATAATTATTCGATATCATCATTTATTGTAATAACAGCAGTACATAAATAATCCGTTTGTTGAACTTACTTTAAACGTTTTCACAAATAGTTTTGAAACTCGTCTTAATATATGTGGTGTGCTGTTATAAAGGAACGCTATTATTCACAATTGTATTTAATCAATTAAATTGTATAACAATTAAATTCTGTCATTGAAAAATAGTCAATAAATTATAGAAGTGTATACATTTCACATTATTGTCATGATTCCTTCGACAATGTTTATTAATAAATTATGTTAAGGATGTGATAACGGTAACTATGGTGATAAATGCGCCAATCAATGCAATACTAATTGTAAAGAGGGAGACACAATATGTAGACATACAGATGGAGAATGTTTGAATGGTTGCCAGGCAGGGTGGAATGGTAAAACATGTGATTCAAGTAAGTAAACGACCTTACCAAATGTGGTTAATATGTTTTTATGTTGACTACAATAGATTGTTTGTTTTTTTTTAATTTTATTTCTCTGATTAAACAAAAGTTCAAATTATTTCTGTTTCCTAATGTTCCTTACATCACTGCAGAAGAAAATTTCTTTATAAGAATATTTAACTTAATTTGGACCCTTAATAAAAACTTAACTTTTTATTATGTATATGTTATTCTACACAAACCTCATTCTTTACTGACCTATCTTTTATGTTGCTTTAAATGTGTTTTCTTCCACAGTTCCTCGCATGATATAATCGTTATTCACTGTTTTCGAAAATTACAGCCCCTTTATTGAAATATATAGTATATGTTTCTCAATTCAAAATTTTAACATTTCATGTTTAAATGTTGAATTCTGCTTAAGCCGGTGCTAGGGGGCGTGGACGATAGTTTGCACTTTACAGTACCGTCCATGAACAGACTCAATAAAACAGAGCCTGCAACAGTTTCAATTATGTTCTGTTGGACAAGTTATCTTATATGTGTCATTGTTGTCAGAGTACTTGCCTATTAATTTCGTAATATACAATAACATTTAAATAATGTGAACATTTGTCACATTTTTGACCAAGAAATAAACTTGTGTTGTGCGTAGATGGCCTCTGCAAATCCAGACATTTTTCCTACTTATTATGAATGACAATCGCTTCAATCGCTTCTGCATCACTGTCATTAATAGAATGTATGTCCGGAAAGTTTGGTCAAGGATGTGAGAAGAATTGTCCGTCAAACTGTTATGGCGATGCATGTGGCTTTATCAATGGCAATTGTGTTGAAGGTTGCAAGCCAGGTTTTCAAGGAAACAAGTGTGAAGAAAGTAAGTTGGTCGCCGAAATATTTTCTTATCAACCAGCAGCGTTGATTGCTTTGTTTAATTAGTTAAGAATATTGCGTAAGCCAGAGTTGTATGACAAAGGCAAGTTTACATTTTTATTTTATTTTCTTTAAATAAACGTGCATTTTTCTCATTTAACGTTTTCTGCTAACCCGGGTACAAAGTTTTCAAAGATTTTGAAATGAGACTTTCTCTGTCATCAGTTGTTCGCCGTTTAAAGTTTTCCACATGTTTCCCCTAATATTTCTCCTTAATCACGTAGCAGTTTAGCGAATTTTGACTAAATCTCATGAGACTTATCATAAGTCGGATATCTACAGGGAAAGCGGTATGTCTAGATATGATAAATAATAAAATTATAAAGGAACTCTCACACAATTTTGCTGAATCACTCTGTTGCCTATTAATTCAATCTTTACAGTCTGGAAAAGTTCCTTCACAGTAGGAATTATCCTAAAAATATTTCCAAGGCTGAATATGTATACAACTTCTGTTAATTATCTTATCAATGTCATCGTCTAAGACATACAATCAATCATTAGACTGTTTGCTGATGACACATATATCCATCTCAAACTTAATTACCGCTGCTGGAATCCTGAAGTCAAACCTAAACAAGATATGCAAATGAGCAGATTACTTGTTTGTCAATTTCAAACCGATTAAACTGAATCAATTCTTAAATCTAAGAAGCATCAACAACATTAACATCCACCCCTTTTTATGAATGATATCAAAATATCTGAAGTAGAACACCTTGGAGTAACGCTATCTAAGAAATGGGTCCTGGTGTGAACAAATTTTAAATATCAAACAAGAAACTTGGCAAAGGATCAATAGCATGCGGAAGTTAAAATGTACCATAGACAGAAAGAACCTAGAAACTTTTAACTTCACCTTTATTATGCAAGTTATAGTGTATTCAGACGTCGTATGGGATAATTTGACACAAAACATGAATTAGAACAGATTTAGTTGGAACAGCTCTACACCAAATTAGTCTCACTATCAAACCTTAACAAAGAATAAGAAGGCTTAAACAAAAATTGATAAAGTATTATAAAATGACAAACTGCGTGATATCACCATATCTCTCTTCTCTAGTCCCTAAATCCGTTGATGGTGTCACACGTTATAATCTCAGAAATGGCCTCAATTCCAAAAAGATACATTGTATCTCTCAATGGAACATTTACAGTTAAGCTGCTACCTTACCACTTTCAAATTTTCAGGTCAACATCTGATAGAGATTTTGTTACGACTAAATACTAATACAGACCAAATTCTGACTGTTGTCTTTCCTAGTAGTAGCATTTACTATTACATAAGTGACCTTAATTCTAGCGTATGACTGGACAACAACAAACCTTTAATAATAGTAAAATTATAACCAAAGTTGTATGTACACGTTCGTACATAACTTTTTATTTTTACCATACTGTAAAGATATATTTAACATTTTTTACCAGTTTGTTTTCAATAATATTTAAATGAGTCCAAAGGTATGGATGTCGATTATCAATTTATGTATACCTTGTTTATTTTATCTCTTAGAAAACCATCACTTTCAAAACTTAATAAATATTCTGTGTAGTATTTCATGTACATAAAATAGCTCTCTGCTTTTGATCAGATCGACAGCAAGTCTAGGTAACAGCTATTGACAGTATGTATACACAGATTTTAGAGCTGTTATTGATTCAGGACAATGCATATGACAGATATACAATATATGATATACAATGACAGATCCATCTTATATCAATAATAGAAATAATGAGGATAGGCAGACTTTTTTTCAAAAAGAAAAAAGAAAAAAAAATGCTTACAAAGAAGCAACATATACATGTATTTTGAAAGCTTTACGTGTAGGCGAAGCCTTATATACTCGTAGCGATTAAAATAGAACAAGTAATATAATTATATATGTATATCATCAATTTAGTCTCCCATTACTCATATATTTGTTTCATTAATCTTAATATCCTACTTGATTAAGATAGTGAAAATATATCATTTGCAGAGAAAGTAAAAAATATGATAAACAAGATCAACAAGGAAAGGCGGTGTTCAATGAACGCAACCCCCAGTCTGCGAGATAATGAAGATAATATAAAATGCTTATTTTCTTTTCCCATATATACATTTGTTAATAATTGATGACATTTTGAATGTTAAATGTCTAAGACATTAGAATCTACATTACAAATATCTTTATTTAGTTTCTAACACATTAACAGTTTGCAAATATATCGATTAAAATTTCGATGTCATCGGTACATTTCTTATGAAGTAATAAGTATGTACATTTAATAAGTATGTACATTTAGTAGGGACCCTTTTAAGACAATAACGAAATTGTTTAAACACAAACTTTTGAAATAACGTAATTTTCTGATCTTTATGTCAATAGAATCATGATCAGTAATCAAGACCACTCCGCTTATCTTATATCTAGTCCACAAGTTTCAGTCCCAATTCTTTCTTTTATTTGTCCGAGATATTGAAACATTGTTAATCCAGTCAACACCAAAGTTTATTTCTCTGAATTTGTGTTTGTGAGGAATTAATTCGGATATGAATTATGAACATTATTTAATGGATAAGAAAAATGATAATTTGATATTACGTTCTTCTAGTAAACAGATTAAAAAGTATAACATCTTTATATATATAATGCATATTGTTTGAACATGATTGTACAAAATGACCAAACGAGACCTTGATTATAATGTAAGCCTTAACTTCTTTTGCTCAGTGCAGTTGGTGGTCTTTACTTCAAGGTTGTTGTTATATTAAGAGTCACCAATATAAATGATTCTGATAAAGTTATGAATTTGTTTCTAAACCTATGATGACATCAGTACGCCGTTAAATGTTTTATGTTGCAGATTTAGAAATTATTTAAAATAAGAATTTAGAGAACTACATTTATAGTTGTGTCTATGTTATCATAGAGTGCCAAGCCGAAAAATATGGTGTAGGATGTAAAGAGAATTGTTCAGCAAATTGCAAAACTCGTGTTTGTAATCATGTCAACGGCAATTGTAGTGAAGGGTGCAACCCGGGTTATCGAGAAAAGACGTGTGAAGAAGGTAAGCCAGCTCTTGGTAAAGAATATATTTAAACGATGGCGATCATGATATAATGTGATAATATATCAACTGTAATTAACATGATATTTAAAGTTTAAACATTCTATGCTGTAAGTAATCATTTACCTGTACAGTATGACCTCGCCTCTTACTCATATCAACTTTTTATTATTATTTTGAGGCAATATTTACTTCAATAGTTAGTAAACGTTTAACCCAACGCATGATTTGTTTTAAAGATAATCCTTTATATTCATTAACCAAGATTTTTTGTTCAGCATTTTACCCACTTGAATTGTTGTGAATTATGGAATATTTACTTTTATTATAGATTGATAGTATTTTGATGTTAATTTACATTTTTATATGGCTTATTGAAACAATATTTACTTATTAATGATATTTAGAATGTAATAACGGTAACTATGGTGATAATTGCGCCTATCAATGCAGTGTTCATTGTAAAAAGGGAGGCATAATATGTAGACATACAGATGGAGAATGTTTGAATGGTTGCCAGGCAGGATGGAATGGTAAAAAATGTGATTCAAGTAAGTAAATGGAATTAACAAATGAGCAACGTCATGACAAAACCAACATAATGGGTTTGCGACCAGCATGGATCCAGACCAGCCTGCGTGTCTGCACAGTTTGATCAGGATCCATGCTCTTCGTTTTCAGTTTCTCTACTTGTAATGGGGTTGGTAAGCGAACAACATGGATCCAGATCAGTCTGCGCAGACGTACAGGCTGGTCTGGATCCATGCTGGTCAAAAACCCATCATGTTGGTTTTTTCATGGCATGGCTCAAATGTGTATTTCATTTGACTTTCATGTTTTGTTTTTCTATTTTATAAAAATCAAATAAAAATCACTTCAAAGTATCTCAATTTACCTCATTTTCATACATCAAATAAAAAAATGTATCAAACATATGTAATTCCAAAATATTTCAACACCGTTTAAAATCTGTTTGTTAGTTTTATTATTATAAATATTATTATAATACTTATTATCATTTTGTATCGCTTGACCACACAGTTAAAATAGAAATATTTACTAATCAAGAAATAAAATCCATTAGCTATTTTGATTTTATCGTCTTTTTATAATAAATTATCAGCGTCGCATATGCAAGCAGAAATACGGAAACTCAAACACACTTATATAAGAACAATTTCATTTTGATATGCCCGAAAGAATTTCAGGCATATTATGCTATACCCCCTGGCGTCCGTCCGGCCGTCTGTCTGTCCGTTCCAACATTTTGGCTTAAGGGGCTATTTTCTTTGTTATTTTCTTTGTTTTCTTAAGGGCAACTAGCCCCTAAACTCTTTGATCACAGAATTAACCTATTGTTCTCTTTTGTTCTCTTTATTGTTAAATAGCCCCTAAACCCAAAATGTTTGCTCGTCCAACCGTCCGTCTGTCCGTCCGGCCGTTAGCAATTTGGTTCCGGAGCATAACCTAAGATCCATTTGGCCCACATTATTCAAACTTCATAGGATGATTGTCAATATTGGGTAGAAGACCCCTTTTGATTTTGGGATCACAAGTTCAAAGGTCAAGGTCACTATGACCTGAAAACTGAAAACAGTTTCCGGAGCATAACTTAAGTCCTATTTGGCCCACAGTGTTCCAACCACATAGAATGATTGTTCATATTTGGTAGAAGACCCCTATTGATTTTGGGGTCACAAGGTCAAAAGTCAAGGTCACTATGACCTTAAAACTGAAAACAGTTTCCGGAGCATAACTTAAGTTCCATTTGGCCCACAGTGTTCAAACTTTATAGGATGATTGTCCATATTGGGTAGAAAATCTGTATTGATTTTTGGGTGACAAGGTCTAAGGTCAAGGTCACTATTACCCTAAAACTGAAATCAGTTTCTGGATCATTACATAAGTTCCATTTGACCTACAATGTTCAAACTTCATAGGATAATTGTCCATATTGGATATAAGACTCCTATTGATTTTGGGGTCACAATGTCAAAGATCAAGGTCACTATGATGTTAAAACTGAAAACAGTTTCTGGAGCATAACTTAAGTCCCATTTGGCCCAAAGTGTTTAAACCTTATAGGATGATTATCCATATTAGGTAGAAGACCCCTATTGATTTTAGGGTCATAAGGTAAAAGGTCAAGGTCACTATTACCTTAAAATTAAAAACATTTTCCGTAGCATAACTTAAGTTCCATTTGGCCCACAATGTTCAAACCTCATAGGATGATTGTCTTTATTGGGTAGAAGACCCTTATTGATTTGGGGTCACAAGGTCAAAGGTCAATGCCACTATTACCTTCAAATTGTAAATCGTTTCTTGAGCATAACTTAAGTTCCATTTGGCCCACAATATTCAAACTTCATAGGATGATTGTCCATATAGGAGTAGGTAGTAGACCCCTATTGATTTTGGGGTCACAACGTCAAATGTCAAGGTCACTTTTACCTTAAAACTGAAAACAGTCTCCGGCGCATAACTTAAGTTCCATTTGGACCACAATATTCAAACTTCACAGGAGGGTTGTTATTTGAAGGAGGTAATTTAATTCCAATGTCTTACAAGTGCTCCATCTTTACTGAAAAAAAGAAAATCACTTTCGGGCATATAATGCTCCGCCTAGCGGTGCTCTTGTTTGTCATTGTTGATGTCATACCATAATACTTTCTTTAATTATGTCATTAATAGAATGTTTGCCTGGGAAATTTGGTATTCAATGTAAGGAGAGTTGTCCTTCAAATTGTAAACATGATGTGTGTGGTTATCTTAATGGCGATTGTAATGAAGGGTGTAAGTCAGGCTTTCAAGGAAACAAGTGTAAAGAAAGTAATTATGTTACATTTTATTCTAGTCCTTCGGGATCATTGAGTACAGTGCTTTTAGTTTTTTAAATTAATGCATGTTTCTTTAGCACGTGGTTTATTGCGTAAAAAATTGCACTTCCCTTAATCTAATAAGCCTATGAGTCCATGCAATTTTCTCATAGTAGGTTTCTATCATTATGTTCAATCGAATGATTCACTTTGAAATTTCTTACTGCCTCCAACCTTCAGCTATTTTTTTTGATAAAGATAATAAAGATTTTTAATGTCTTCTGTTGTGAATCTTTAAATTGAAATTAATTTTTGACATATTTTGCAGCATACATATACAATAAAATTGAAAATCGTGCCTGCATAATTTGATTTGCAAAACATAACTCTTTATAAAAAGGAAACACGTGTATAATTGAATCGTTAGTACAATTTTAAGTATCTTTAAATAAATGTAAATCTGACTGAAGTCCAGATATATGTATACTTTAACACGTACAGTTAGTTATGTCCTGCATGTAAAGTTGATTGTTATCGTATTTGTTTTGCCTTCATTTCGCCTTGCCTGATTATGGAGTAATTGTCTTTTTTTATTTTTACACTGTGAACTTGTCCGGAATAAAACTCCACACCACATGAGGTATCAACAAGGAATTTTGTTATGAGATAGATCTCATTAAGTAGAAGTGCAGTCATACGAACTGTTTTTTTCTCTTTTAGTTGCTTTGTCTTTTGTCTTAGTTATTGCTTTTTTACACTTTTTTTCACTTTAAAATATTTCTTTTTGACTCTGAACTACAAGATATATCAAAACGAAACAAATTAAAATTTCTTTTTTCAAAAAAGAAAAAATATTAGGAGCGTTTCACCCGGTTTGACGGGCTTTGTTTATTAAAGGCTGTTGATGCCCCTGAAATAAATGAAATTTTACTTCTTAACAAAGGGTAAATATTAATTTTAAAATATTCAAGTAATGGTTTAAGAGAATGTAACATGCTTGTTACCTGAAGAATTCAGCGATACATGAGAGGAATAATTTATCATAAAAGTAGCACAATGTTACCAAAGTAGTATTTTGACTTCTGTACAAAATTTTTTATTTACTTTAACTGTACTGGCACTGTAACTTTATAGTTGTTTTTAATTAAAGAAGTAAAACAGAAAAACACAGACGGTTTGCACAATCTCCACAATGAATTGAAATGTGCGTTAAACAATAGCTTTACCAGCAGAAGTCACTTTTCATTATATACTGACACTGAAACACATGAAATCCTTGTCTAAAATTTGACAATGATGTTAGCTGTGTAAAAAATTATTTGGAATTTCAGGTTAAACACCGCAATCAACAAATAACAAACAACGGTATCTTTAAATCATATAAATTCTGTGACGATACAAATTACAAGTCTTTTTGACATAACATTTCGTTATTCAGAGATAAACAAATACAAAAACAGGGTATGTGGGAGAGTTTATTTACTTGTACTGTGTATTTGTGTAAAAACGAATGAGAAAATTGCACAAAATTCATGTTTTATAGCCAAGTATCGTGTGTCTGTTAACGATATACAAATTAACATTCAACCAATTTCATAGGATGACCAACAAATACATACGATGAACTCTTGTATTGAGTAAAAGAAGTCTTTTGTTTAACGCCTATAGTTGAGGGCCAAGGTCACAATAATATTAAATGTTACATCGATGGATAAAGGTTAAGGTCAAGAGTGACCTAGACTATGAAAGCTGTCCTTGCTCATTGTCTCACATATGGATAACAATGAAAACAATTGTTTGTTAGTATATAAATGTAAGTTATGCATAATATAATAACTCCATTCTTCTTTTTGTATAACATGTTTAAATTGACTGAAATGCGTAGAAAAACTATAGTAATTTTTTTGAACTGGTGGAATTAACAGTTTAATTGTCCAAATATGTATGTCAGAACTGCTAAAATCTATTATGTAAATATGGGATTTGTTTTTCTTGATTGGCAAGAACAGACATTTTTTTTAAGTTTTCTCCTTTAGTATTTTTGTGTATAATTTATCAGCTTCTAGTTAAGTATGATAACAATAAACTACATGTACATACATAAGGTTTTTCTTTCAAAATGAATTTAAATAGGTGGATAAGATGATATTCAGATATATGTATGATATTGTACTTAAATGACTATGATTATTAAATTTTTATGCCCCCACAATGTGGTTGCATATAGCGTTGCACTTGTCCGTCCGTCAGTCCGTCAGTCCGTCCGTTCGTCCCGAAATCTTGTTAACGCAACTCCTCTTAAACCGGATGGCAGATTTTGCTTTAACTTACAGGGATGAACAACCTTAATGTGTAGATGGTAGTAAAGGAAGGAATTTTCGCTGCGACCAAATTTAACAGAATTATGGCCATTGTTGATTTTTTCACTATATACTATGTAGAAATTTTGTGAACGCAACTCCTCTTAAACCGGATGGCAGATTTTGCTTAAACTTACAGGGATGAACAACCTTAATGTGTAGATGGCAGTAAAGGAAGGAATTTTTGCCGCGACCAAATTTAACAGGATTATGGCCCTTTGTTGATTTTTTCACTATATACTATGTAGAAATTTTGTGAATGCAACTCCTCTTAAACCGGATGGCAGATTTTGCTTAAACTTCCAGGGATGAACAACCTTAATGTGAAGATGGTAGTTAAGAAAGGAATTTTTGCTGCAACCAAATTTTACAGAATTATGGCCCTTTTTTTATTTTTTCATTATATACTATGTAGAAATTTTGTGAACGCAACTCCTCTTAAACCGGATGGCAGATTTTGCTTAAACTTCCAGGGATTAACAACCTTAATGTGTAGATGGTAGTAAAGGAAGGAATTTTTGCTGCGACCAAATTTAACAGAATTATGGCCCTTTGTTGATTTTTAGTTTTCAACTTGTGGCACATGTAGTCCAAAATTTTTTGACCTAGAGTCATAAGATTGACAGAACAGTGGCGTGTGGGGGCATCCGTGTCATATGGACACATTTCTAGTTTATAAACCTATTATATTTAAAAGAAAGTTGTTGTTGTTAATTTTCTTGTTATAAATACATCCCAGTACATTATCAGTTTCTCTGTGACTTTGGCTCTTATACAGACTCAATAAAACCGAGTCTGCTATTTTCATGTAATTTTGTTGTGATTAATGCTTCCGAGGGAGATTTTCAAGTGTTATCTTTTTTCTGCCTTCCTAAAAAGTTGAGGGACATTGGGCATACCTAACAATTTTCCATTTCTTAGTTTTCCTTCTTTTTTTCTGGATGTTTGGTTCCAGTATTCATAATCACCCAATGGACAAGTTGCCTGTTTTACATATTTGACAGATTGTGAAATTCAGACTACCTCAAAACCTCTTATACCTTTAAAAATTATACTTTGCAAACTGCATCGTCTTTTTTTCGCTCCGCGCCCCTGCCATTTCAACTTGTCAACTCTCGCCTTTTCGCTTGAAGGGGTCGCGGGGCGAAAACACAATGATCGTATCTTATCTTGCTTTGTCGGGCCCTTGTAAGTTATTTTCTAGTTGCTCTGCCTTCCTTTCAAGCATCGAGTACTTTAGAAATGGTAATTAGCCTCTGCCTTTTGTATATATTTACAAGATCATGAATATGTTTTTTTATTTCGTCTTTTGTTAGAATTTGACTTGGTGGGGATTTGTTTTATTAACATTGTTTTGTCAAATAGAAACATATTGGGGTTAGGAGTGAGCTTTGACTCGCCTTAAACCGGTTTAAACTCCCCAGTGCTCTTACTGCGACTAATCGTTCCAAGGCGGTACCCATCTGTGTTCCTTCCCGTGTTTCATGTGTACATGTTACATGTTTTGAATGTTTGCATGTTTTATGATGTCTGCCTTGTTACATTGTCGTTAAAAGTAAGTATTTATTCGACCTCCCCCTTTTCACCCAGATTACCCTACCCACCTCCCGTCTTTCACCTTTCACTCTTTATACCTTTTATTCTTTAATTCTAGGCCTTTTTTGTTTCTTATTTCATTCACTTATTTCCTTCTCATTTTGTCACTCTTGTTTTCTTTCCCTCTTCTGGTTTTGTGCCTTCTGAGTGTCCTGCTATTGTGGCTGGGGTGTGTCAGGGACTCCTTTATCTTGTTAATTTTCATTTTCATTTTCTAGTAAGGTTACCGAATCTCAAAGAATTCTCTTTTATACTTAAGTCAGATTGATTCACTTATTCCCTCAAACAAAAGCAAACAAACAGACAAACAAAAAGATACAAGTAAATATTAAATCATATAACAACTGACATAAATAACTTAAGTATGTCGATTTGGTTTTTTGCTAACCAACTCAAACTATCATATTGGGACACTCAATATATGTGCGTAATCGTTAGCCAGTAGGAAACATTATTATTGTAAAATCATCTTAAACTAAAGTAATGATAGTTTTACATTTTTATATTATGTTACATCATACTATTGTAAGTTAATTGCTGATAAGGGTATGTAACATTACATATGAAATACAAAATATTAAAAATTGTCAATTTTACCCTTTTAGATTGTAAAACAAAATCAAAGACAATATTGTTTGAAATAGAGATAAGGACATCAAACTTAAACTGAAACAAATTATTATAACTCTCATGTATTTCAATATTAGAGATAAAATAATTTTTTTACAGTTTCAGATAAGGTTTTAAGTGACACAAAACCGTGTACAGGATGTCATGAAACACCAAAACTGAAAATAGGTTTGATATGTGTCGGAATCCTTTGTGCCATTCTTGTTGTGTACGCTACAGTTATAACGATCTTGTGTAAACGTAATACAACGCATAACAGTAAGTTGTTTTTGTGCCTCTCCCCACTTTAGGGTGAGGGGGCATTTAGATTTACCCTTGCCCGTCCGTCTGTCCATCAGTCCATCCGTCTGTCCGTTCTCTTTTGTGTCGCATGTAACTCAAAAGGTTTTTGACCTAGGGTCATGAAGATTAACAGGAATGTTGATAAGCATATGCAGTTGTGAACCTGGGTATTTTCGTGTGGATTTATTTATTTATTTATATGGAGTAATTGCCATTGACTTAGTAAAAATTTGCAATTTACAACTTGTGTCGCCCATTACTCAAAAAGTATTTGACATAGAGTCATGAAACTTTACAGGATTGTTGATAAGCATGTGTAGTTGTGCACATGTGTACTCTGGTGTGGATGTGTATAGTATTTTAGAGTAATGACCCTTGGCTTACTAAACATTTGCAATTTTCAACTTGTGTGGCATGTAACTCAAAAAGTTTTTGACCTAGAGTCATGAAACCTTACAGGAATGTTGCTCAGCATGTGTAGTTGTGCACCTAGGTATTTTCATGCGAATTTATGTAGTAATTTTTGAGTTATTGCCCTTGACTTCGTAAAAGTTTGCAATTTTCAACTTGTGTCGCATGTAACTCAAAAAGGATTTCACATAGAGTCGTGAAACCTTACGGGAATGTTGCTCAGCATATGTAGTTGTGCACCTTGGGTTTTGCTTGTTGATTTATCCAGTAATTGTTGAGGTATTGCCCTTGACTTAGTAAAAACCCTTTCATTATGTTGTGTGATTTGTTTCTTGAGTGCTTGAGTTAGAATCAACCAACTTTACAGGAATAATGATCAACATCAATGTGAAGCTATTGTAGAGTTATTGCCCTTGACTAACAGTGGTATAAATTTGCAGTTTTCAACTTGTTCATGCATAGCTCAAAAAGTATTTGACTAGTTACCCTGAAGGTTTACAAGAATGTTGGTAAGCTTATGTACTTCTGCATCTTGGGATTTATTTAGTATTCGTAAAGTTCTTGCCTTTTACTTAGTAAAAGATGTTTAGTTTTCAACTTGTTCCATAAAGTATGTTTGACCAAGAGTCATAAAATTGACAGAACAGTGGGGTATGAGGGCACCCGTGTCCTATGGACACATTTCTAGTTATAAATTAAATAGCTTCTAATCTTTAAGCTTATATAAACTATGACAGAAAATTTTATTTAGATAAACCAATGTATAAACAAAGAACAAAAATACGGAATTAAAACCAAAGATTATATTTTTTAAATGTTTTGAAGACCAATACATTGATGCACTTCCAGAATTCAACATTATATCGATTGAAAGGCAATATATGTGATTAGATATGAACTCGTTTTTGGTATTTTACAATATTCATTTCTCTGATTCATTGATTTCATGTTAAAGAACAAGATGGGACTGGTGGCAGTTGCAATGAAAGGTAAATACATTGTTCCTTAGCTCATATATGTTAATATGTTATTTAAACTTTATTCTGATATCCAGTAAGATTTGCTCTTGGTATTAACATCTGACAAGATCATAGCTAAATAATTTGTCTTATATAACATAAGTATTAAATAATACGTAAGATCAATTCAAACTGAATTATTTAATTATCCAATATTGTCGAATGAGTAAAATGTAATGAATATGCAATTCCATCAATCTAATGAAAAGAAATTTGTCGTTCCCTAACACCCATGTCGCGATTTCCTTTTATATGACTCCACCTAGTCAACTCATTGATCTATCGTCAACAGACATAAGTGTGCTTAAATCCAGTTTAAGATTAAAACCTTAATCTTGCATTTATTTTAGCAATCTATTTTATCTTTCTTACTCTAGAATTGTCCTTTCAATTGAGTTTAATGGTCCTTGAGAAATGTTGTATTCTATTTAAGGAGCTATGATTATGCTAATGCAAATGTAACGAATATAAAAGAAACTGTAACAGCTGTAGCAGCAACAGTAGCAGCATCTGAACAAGCAAGACTTGACGATGAATATCATCAATATACAGATCCTACTCCCGATACGAGAGATGTCGGAGCAACATATGAAAATATTCAGCTTGAATGACCATTACTATAAAAAAAAGTGTTTCATAACGTGTTTTGACAAGGTGTTTAGTGTACTCCCTTACAATCTAATGAATTTGTTCAGTCCTTTAGATTCGATATGACAATGATACTTCTTTTAATAGGACTTTGTCCTTTAAAATATTATGTGCGTTGCGTTGAATATTATGTTAAAACAGCCACCAGGATTGTCGCACACTTCACTACCATTTAAAAGTGTCGTTAACATTAATTAATCATTTTACATTATATATTTAGGGTTGATTAAGAATAATTGACTAAAATTACGCATTTTTTTCAAATTCCAATCCGATTATTTTCCGGCATTATATATTTCTCCAATCGGTTTTCTTATTATCTAAGAATGTGTTTAATACGTATTTTAATGCATTATCTTCATTCTTGATGAATCAATTTAAGCATTTTTCGAAACAATGAAAAGGGTTTTTCCATTTATTGTAACTGGCAAAAGTTTCGACTGGAATAAACCCTTACTGAATATTTTACCTATTGGATTTTTTTTTCAATATTTTTTGAGAAATAAATTATATCGGAATTAATTCAAATGAAAATTTATCCTATTTGAATTTTAAAAAAATACTTAAGATAGGTTTATGTATTTTCCAGACTAAATAAAGGTAAAATGCATAGGTTAGTAAAAATGACCGTTTCACAGCATTGTTGGAATAATTTCAGATATCCTTTTCTTTATGCTGATTAAAATAATGTACTGATGAATTCGCTGTCTCCTTGCGGATAAGAAGAGACATATCACGGGGCAATCAAAATATTAGAAATTTCAGACTTAGATTTAGCAAAGCTTTTAACTGAAACTTATTTTAAAATTGTTTTGTATAAACAACCAGTTTTGATATGTACTTAGGCTTATGACATCAATCAAGGATGTCGCCCTATAAATATTAGGGTTGAACACACTAACTTCTATAGTGAGTAAACCAGGTATCCATACTTATCTACTTAGGAAATAACATCGGCCTTGACAGGTGTATTTCGGCTATTTAACACTGATTTGGAGTTTTGATGCGTAGAAATTGACCACGAAGGCTAAGGCCTGAATGGTTAATTTTGTCGCATCAAAACGACAAAACCGGTGTTAAATAGCCGATATACACCTCTCAGGCCGATGTTATTTCGATTCTAAACGATAAAATAAGGAAAATCACTTATGTTATTTTTCAAGCGGAAATAACTTCCGGTGCCGATTTTCGTATAACGCTGTTCGATTTCGCACCCTACTGTTGCGGAAGATTATAGAAATTTATTCAAACAAAAGAAATAATTAAGAAAAACGTTTATTTTTTCAAGCTTTCAACAATAAAAAAACCACGTCGTATTGTGTTAACATCAGAGCCCCATTTTCATTATTGTATGTTATGAAAATAACGTTCAGTTGTTTATGAATGCGTTGTTACTTACGATGACGTCCATTTACGCTGCTTACGGATTGGCGCCGTTTTGTCCAAAATATTTATTAATCTTATAATTTGGATCTAATATTTTGCGTTTAGTGTATATGTGAGGGATAATAATTTCGGTACTTTTGATATGGGAAAGAAAACCTTTTTTTAAACGAACTGAAAATATAAATAAAAAATGCTTTTTAAATTGTTTCTTTAAAAATGCCTTTGTAATCTATAACAATCGAGGTGAAAACATTAACAGCACATATACAGTTAGTAGTCCCTAAACCGCTGTTTATTGGCAGTTTACACCAGTTTTTTTCCTTCTTTGTCTATAGTGAACAAAATCACGTGAGTGTTAGAATATAAGGTAAATGTCAGTTTACGTTTTTTTATATATTGTTTTATTTTCTCTCGCGGTTTTGGGGCTATGAATGTTTCAAATCAATATCAGCTATAAATTATTGTGGCTGAAATTGTGCCATTCGTTTTTTGGTCTGAAGACCCCGCCAAGCGAAAACCCGAGAATAAACAAGTTAAAATGGCGGGGGCGCGGGACGAAAACACGCTTATAAGCGGTAGTTTTCGGGGCGAAGTCTAATAAATAAAACTTCGCCAGTAGGGGTGCAGAGCGAAGTTTAAGAAATAAAACGACGGGGGCGAGGAGGGAAAACACGCTAATAAGTTAATAAGTGGGGGCTGAGCGAAGCTTGATAAAAAGTTTCCAGTAGGGGGCGCGGAGCGAGATTTAAGAAATAAAACCTAGGGACACGAAGCTAAAACACGCATATAATCACGGACGCGGGGTGAAGTTAAATAGATAAAACTTGCCCTGCAGCCCGGCAAATAAGCGTGTTGTCGTCCCGCGACCCTGCTAAGCTGTAAGTAGAGAATTAACAAGTTAAAATGTCGTTTTATTTCCTAAATATCGCTTCGCGCCCCTTCGGGACGATGTTTTATTTATTAAACTTCGCCCCGCATCCCGCTAATTTGCGCTTTTTCGCTCCGCCTGCCAACCATTTTAACTTGTAAAATTCTCAAATTTTCGCTTGGAGGGGTCTCGGGGCAATAACACGAAAGGTACAAATCAGCCACCATAATAAACTAGTTTTCATATGCATTTGTTTGTCTACATATATTTTATATGAATTCGTATTGTCAATATAAATGTTAAAATAATCGAAACTTTATCTGAATTTTCGCAATACAAACATACAAGCGTTAAAGCTGAACGCCTCCAGATGAGCCAAAATATTTCAAGAAATTCAATTTTTAGACAAATATATTGATATATCTTAAGAAAATTAAAAAGATTCAACATCTAATTAGTTATTTGCATCTTGATGCATGCTGCTTTAAGGGCAGTTTTACATTCAACACCAAAGCATGCTCTATAGTGTAGTCTATTGTTTTTATGATCACTACAAAACCTGACAACCTTCTCAAATTCATAAACTAGTATATTAACAGCATTACAGTATTCAAACTGTAAGTCTAACCTGTCAAACAGATCTTGCATCTTTGCACCACCGAGAGTAGATGAATATACAGAATTACCATTATCACTTTTTCAATCTTTTTGTCTAAGGTAGTATAAAGTCGCCCGGGGCTCCTGGCCTCTGGTACTTGTTGCTTGGTCGTGTTGGGTATGCGTTCATTGAATGGTGATTTTCTGGAGGTGAATATAGCGTGACCAACAGCACATTCTTTTCATTTATCATAAGCATTTCACCATACTTTCATTTATCACATATCCTTTGGAAAATATCTAGTCAGCTGGTTTTCAATCATAATTACAATTCCAACTATGTTTCCTGCAGACATGGAATTCAGAAATAGATTAAACACATTTTCAAATATTTCAACATAGTTTAAACCCTCCGATATTCCATTATGCTTTACAGGAACTTGATCGTTTATCCTGGGTTTTTATCAATAGTGCCCCTTTGGGATTCCGCTGTGATAATGATATATTTTAAACAATGAGTATGCACCGCTTAACAATAGACATAACTGTTGAAAATTGACGTGTATGAATCTGTTTTTGGTATCTCTTTTTTATTATGTATTTTAGTTTATGAATTTGTTAAACAAAAATAATAATAATAACAGTAGTAGGTATAGTATCAGTATAATATCTAAGCTTCAAACTATTATTCTTTCTGATCAATTTAAATGCTTTTTGAGTATGTTTTAATAATTGAAAGAAACCATCAAGAATAACGTTGTCCCTGTTTTCATCCATGGACTATAACCCTTTTATATCTTATGGTGTTTGTGATGTAGTTTTTGGCGGTTTCACTGGTTATGAACGTTGAATAATTACGCTTTTTATCGCATTGTTATTATGAATGGAATGATTTTTTCTATTTCGAGAATTAATAGTTGTCCCCATAGAAAAACTTTGTTGGTGTTGGGGTTTTTTCATATAGTATGATGTTTATAAGTAATCCGGTCTCATATTATAAAGTTTAATTGCCGTGGTTTTCTTTTTTCATAATACAGGATAAGCGAAATCAGAATTTATTGCAATGAATACTAGTATTTGAATTCATTTAGTTTTACTTTAACAAAACGTTGTTTCAGGTGGTTCAGTTTTTATCTAAACCAGTCGTAACCACTGCCAAGATGGATTTGAAAACAACCTTTCTTTTGAAGAGATTTTAATTTTTAATTTTTCGATTTTTTTTTTTCAATTTTTTTGTATGTTTTTTCAGTTTTTTTGTTTTGGGGTTTTATTGCTCTCGAGGGGGGATTTCTCCCCTTTTAAAGGGTTGGGCGAAATTTTAAATCAAACAAAAATTTCTTTAAAAAAAAGGGTGAAATAATTTTTTATTTTTAAATTTGTTTTGTGAACAACTGATTTATTTATAAGAAAGTTTTTTTAAAAAATAAAATTTTTTTAACAATTTTTTTTAAAACCCCCACCATAAAATTTTAATTAAATTTACCGTTTTTAAAGCTGAAAATGAGTTTACAATGTTAAAGTTTTAAGTTTTTTTCAGCTTACATTAACTGTCTAAAAAATTTAAATTTTTTTTTTTTGTGAAAAATAGATAGGTAAATTTGATTAAAAATTAAATTCCATTTAAAATTTAGTTTAAACCAAATTTTAAAACACTATTTAGAAGTAATTTAACCACTCAACCATAGCCTTTTTTTGCAATCGGTAATTTCCTGTTTAATATTCAAATCTGTTGTGTTATATCATAATTTTTTTTTTAACCCATACTTTATTGCTTCGTTTGCGTTCTGGTCCTTTAATGTAAAATATTATAAAATTAAATAAATTTATTATTAATTTAAAGGATTTATTCCAGTTAAAAAATATATTTTTATATAAATATAAAAAATTAAAATAAAAAAATTTTTAAAAAAAAAAAAAAAAAAAAAAAAATGAGTTAAATAACAAATTTATTTAAGGAAATTTTTAAAAATATAAGTTAGGATGTATTACAACTTTTGATATGTTTTTTTTTTTTTTTTTTTTTTTTTTTTTTGTAATAGCATACTGGCACGTTTAAAGGTCCCATTTTCCTGCCGATGGAAACATATGGAATGTTTCTCAGTTTACACATTAAATTTTTTCAAGTTTTTAATTTTGAATTCCTGCTAAAGGACGGGCTTGGAGGTGTATTCGATCAGTTCGGGAAAATATATTTTGAGTTAAGCGTAAATACAAAAAAATATTTACGTCTTTTGTATAAAAATCTTAGGGTTTTCAAGAATAAGTAAAACTTGTTTGCCTCTTTGTCAAAATAGTTTTCCTCGGTTTGTTCGGGTTATTTCAATTTTTTAATCAATTTTTAAGCTAAAAGTCCGACCGCCGACTCGTTTTTAAAAGGAAATACTTGTTTTCGACAAAGAAAAATACCAGCGGCGGCGCACTCTCAGATTCTAACTTACATATTGGAATACTTTCCTATAATGTTAATGTACCTTTAATTTAATTTAATATTGTAATGTCTTTTTTTGAGTATAATATTTTCTACCAACGTTCGTTACTAATAATCAGGAAAATTTTGAAGTAAATTAATCCTCCTTCCAGTTTGCTACCGCCTGACGATTGCAATATTGTTGTTCATTTTAACAATTTTTCTTATTAAATAATTGCACGACAGGATGGAAAGTTGAAAGGGGAAACAGTACTCAGAATACTCTGATTAGCTTGCCCGTTGTAACATAATTTTTTTTTGTCTCGCCCCAAAAAGGGGTTTTAAACAATAATGAACCTTGGTATTCATTAAATCTCTTTGAGCCGTAACCAAAGGTCCACGCCTAAATAAATAAAACTTTTCTTCGGGTTAATTGTTTTTTGTCTCTTGTTTCCATATTTCAAATTTTTGGATATTTTTCTGTTCAATATAACTAAACCCAACAAACGGAACAGTTTGCCGTCTGAGCACATCTACGTGGATGTTTCAAAATTAAAAAACTTTCACCGCTTTCTAAAATGTTAAATTTATGTTTAAAAACCGAATGCTAAAGGCCTTGGTCGGTAATTTACTTGTTTTTAATACCGCCCATGCGCAATCAATCAAAGCTTGCAACATTTTTTAATTTCGTTGTTTTTGAGAGTTCTTTATGGATTTCTTTTTTCTTTATTTGTCCAAATTTATGATTTTAGTTTTATATTTTAGGAGTAGTTAAAGTGAACATTAGTGTCAGCTAATTTTAATATAGAAATAACAAAGTGTGACAAATGTATAGAATGCAGAATGCATATGCTGTACAAATAATTTAAACAATTATTAATGTACTTTAATGATCACCCCTAGGCCTAAGTTAATTTGACTTGATTACTTAAATTAACTGAGA